CCCTGGGTCGCGCGCGCCTCCCTCCCCCGCCCTCGACGGCTGCCATGGCAACAGCGCTTGGCTCCGCCTCCGGAGGGTTTGCACCAGCTGCAGCTGTTGCTCCTGCCTGGCGCGGTGGCGCGGCCGAGCTCCAGTTTAGGGCGAACAAACTGGGCCCTCCGTGGGCACCTTGTGCTCAGAGGGTGAGCTTGGAGCGTCCTGGGCACCTCGGCTACTTGCTGAAAGCTGGGCGTGCGTGTTCTACAAAAGCTGACGTTTCTAAATTTTGTCTTAAAACCTTGTTAAATTTAGGGACTCAACTGAGAATTTTCAGAAGCTAGTTTTGTTTTTGTTTTTTGTCTTCTTATATTCTAGGCTGAAGGGGATGCTAAAGGTGATAAAGCCAAGGTGAAGGATGAAGTAAGTCTTATTCTCTGGAGAGGGTGTACAGAGCCTTGGACAGTAAGGACGACAGGACTCTGTTGGTGGGAAAGAACCACAGCCCCACAACCCAAGGCCTGAGTTTGCCAAAGATACTGCCTTCACTTCTTGTAATCTAGAACAAATTGGGACAAAACGTTTGCTTATCTTTCTAATACTCTTGATTTTTACTTTAATAGCCACAGAGAAGATCTGCAAGGTTGTCTGCTGTAAGTGTGTATACTTTAATTTAAAAAATTTTTTTTGCATATTTATCTTTGAAACTGAAAGGCATTAGAAAACAAATCTTGCTTTGGGTGGATTGATTATAAAGGGTGGTTTCAGTGACTGCCTCGGGCTATTGCACATTTGGCGTTAAGGGTTCTGAAATTCTACTGATTCTAGGGGGGGGGGGGGGGGGTGGGGGGGGGGGGATGTTTATGTTACATTTGAAAAGAAAGCCACAAAAACTTTCACAAGTAGAAAATTCTAAGCTGTTTGTGCCATGGTCTGGTTGTGGGTTGTTTTCTTTGGGCCATTGTATTAATATTCTCATCTTCTCTGCTTGCCAAAATAAGAAACCAGCTCCTCCAAAGCCAGAGCCCAAGCCTAAAAAGGCCCCTGCAAAGGTAAGTGGGACTGAGAGATAATTGCACTAATGCTGAAATTGATATTTTTCACAGAACTCTTTCCGCCCAATGTAGTAGTAAATCCCTTTAACCCAGCACTGGGGGAAGCTGAGACAGGAGAATCACCATGAGTTTGAGGCCAGCCTAGGCTGTATAGTGAATTCACAGCCTGCCTGAACTGTGAGATTGTCTCAGAAAACTCACTACTTTAACCTAATTCAACATATTCATGACTACATAAATTGTTTGGTGCCTTGTCTTAGTGGTAATATTTATAACATTGGCTTTCTCCCATCCAAGTCCTGATCAGTCCTGACCCTGCTTAGCTTCCGAAATCAGACAAGATTGAGCACATTCAGGGTGGTATGGCTGTAACTTAACATTGGCTTTCTAATCAAGAATTTTGTCATCATTTTACAGAAAACCACCTCAATCTTAAGTGTTTGGTTTTATTCTAATACACTTACATATGAGTTTGTATGCTCAAGACCACAACAAATTACAATTTTGTTTTAATTAACTGTTCTTACAAATGGGTAAGAAAGGGGTTTGTCTTCAATAAACTGACCTACCTTGTGTAGAACTTTGCCTCCATATGCTAGTAATATGGAAGGAGGCGAAACAGTTCTCTATTTTTCCTCACTTTTAGAAGGGAGAGAAGTTACCCAAAGGAAAAAAGGGAAAAGCTGATGCTGGCAAGGATGGGAATAACCCTGCAGAAAATGGAGATGCCAAAACAGACCAGGTATAGTTACTATTTAAGTGTGCTTACTCAGTTGGTTACTGATCCCAAAAACTTAATACCCTTTTCTTTTTATCTACACCACTGTAAATGCGTTATGATTTTCCTTTAACATAGATGGGATTCTTCACATGTTGGATTCTTCTTTTTTTTTTGTATCCTGGGGATGGAACTCAGGACCTTTTGCTTGCAAGGCAGCGTGTGGCGGCACATATTGGATTCTTAATCTCTGCTTTTACCTTAAAGGCACTGTGCTGTTCTGTCATGAGGTACTACACTCATAGTAGAGTATGCACTGTAGAGTTTTTAAATTGGAAATAACCTCAGGTGGTCTTGTGCCCTCTTTCCCAGGTTAACAGCAAGGCCTGACCAGAAGGTGCCTTAGCAAAGTTACCCAGCAAGCCCATTCTCAAAAGAAATAGAGTCTTGGTGTCTTAAATATCCACCAAGCTGAGCTTTGGCCTAGGAACAGAATGATGCTGTAAGTGGAATGTGCACCAAGTTTTAAAATCTACATGTTGTGTTAATCTGTCTTTTTCTTTTAGGCACAAAAAGCTGAAGGTGCTGGAGATGCCAAGTGAAGTGTGTGCATTTTTGATAACTGTGTACTTCTGGTGACTGTACAGTTTGAAATACTATTTTTTATCAAGTTTTATAAAAATGCAGAATTTTGTTTTACTTTTTTTTTTAAGCTATGTTGTTAGCACACAGAACACTTCATTGTTGTTTTTGGGGAAGGAGCGTATGTCACTAGTACAATGTCTCCAAAGCTGGATTGATGTGGGGAAAGCACCTTTCCCTGCTAGTTTTGAGAGACTTCCTCTTGGCTCCCAGGAAGGAGGGATTCCCTGATGTTGACACCTGTGGCCACCTTGGTGCAATGCCTTGTGGTATGGGAAAACTCCCAGTTCATTTTATGTCCTCCTTCCCTCTGCCATCAGCATAGACTTAAACTCCCTTAAGCCCAGAGACCTGTTGGGACCTGACTCCCAAAAATTGATGTTACCAGTGTGTCAAGCATTCTGGACTTGCCAATGACGTTGAGATGCTATCCCACAAGAGCATTGATTTCCTTTTCTAGATTGTGGATCTTCAGATTGATAATTCTGCCATTTTCATTTCATTTTCTGAAAGTCAGGGTCGGCTTGTGAAAAGTTGTTAAACAACTAAGGATGGGAATAACCCTGCAGAAAATGGAGATGCCAAAACAGACCAGGTATAGTTACTATTTAAGTGTGCTTACTCAGTTGGTTACTGATCCCAAAAACTTAATACCCTTTTCTTTTTATCTACACCACTGTAAATGCGTTATGATTTTCCTTTAACATAGATGGGATTCTTCACATGTTGGATTCTTCTTTTTTTTTTGTATCCTGGGGATGGAACTCAGGACCTTTTGCTTGCAAGGCAGCGTGTGGCGGCACATATTGGATTCTTAATCTCTGCTTTTACCTTAAAGGCACTGTGCTGTTCTGTCATGAGGTACTACACTCATAGTAGAGTATGCACTGTAGAGTTTTTAAATTGGAAATAACCTCAGGTGGTCTTGTGCCCTCTTTCCCAGGTTAACAGCAAGGCCTGACCAGAAGGTGCCTTAGCAAAGTTACCCAGCAAGCCCATTCTCAAAAGAAATAGAGTCTTGGTGTCTTAAATATCCACCAAGCTGAGCTTTGGCCTAGGAACAGAATGATGCTGTAAGTGGAATGTGCACCAAGTTTTAAAATCTACATGTTGTGTTAATCTGTCTTTTTCTTTTAGGCACAAAAAGCTGAAGGTGCTGGAGATGCCAAGTGAAGTGTGTGCATTTTTGATAACTGTGTACTTCTGGTGACTGTACAGTTTGAAATACTATTTTTTATCAAGTTTTATAAAAATGCAGAATTTTGTTTTACTTTTTTTTTTAAGCTATGTTGTTAGCACACAGAACACTTCATTGTTGTTTTTGGGGAAGGAGCGTATGTCACTAGTACAATGTCTCCAAAGCTGGATTGATGTGGGGAAAGCACCTTTCCCTGCTAGTTTTGAGAGACTTCCTCTTGGCTCCCAGGAAGGAGGGATTCCCTGATGTTGACACCTGTGGCCACCTTGGTGCAATGCCTTGTGGTATGGGAAAACTCCCAGTTCATTTTATGTCCTCCTTCCCTCTGCCATCAGCATAGACTTAAACTCCCTTAAGCCCAGAGACCTGTTGGGACCTGACTCCCAAAAATTGATGTTACCAGTGTGTCAAGCATTCTGGACTTGCCAATGACGTTGAGATGCTATCCCACAAGAGCATTGATTTCCTTTTCTAGATTGTGGATCTTCAGATTGATAATTCTGCCATTTTCATTTCATTTTCTGAAAGTCAGGGTCGGCTTGTGAAAAGTTGTTAAACAACATGCTAAATGTGAAGTGTCAACCCTCACTCTAAACTCTCCCTACTCAGAGCATCAAATGAAGACTTCATTGGATTTTATAGTGGCTTTCTGATTTTTGGTAGTCCATCCAAGAAGGGAGTTTGAAAGTTGTTGTATACTGTTAACGATTGTGTGCCCATGTCCTGCCTGAAATACCATGATTGTTTATGAAAAGTATCTTTAATAAAGCTGGATACAGTTTGGCTTGGAATACTGCCTCTGATCTTTTCCCACCAATGGGGAGCCTGGCTTCTCGGGACTGGATGCATTCAGGTGTGAGGTGTAGAGCTTCTGTTACACAGAGACTCAGTAATCCTTCATTGATCTATAGTTCGTCTTCAAGTTGGGAAGGATTCCAAGAGTAGACTGGTGTTGATAGTCTAGGAATAGAGAAGTGGTTTCTATATGTGGTACACAGCATTCCTTGAAACATTTTCTTGACAGCCTGGGAAATTGCCACTTCATTCACAGTGACAACTTCTAAAGTTGGATTAATAAAATCTAAAGCTGTGTCAGATATCCCTGTGTCTGGACGTAGGATGTGTGAGGTAGATGACACTGCTACTAAGGTCTATACATGTATTAATGGTCCTGGGACTGTTCAAGAATTTGTAGAGACCTGTTTATAGTAAGGACTTAAGTTAGCATATAGAACTTTTAATAAATTCATGCTTGTAATTTGCTTTAACAGACTACCTGGTAATAGGTATGAGGAAGGAGTTAGTAAATTGCAGGCTGCAAAATTGTCTTGTCTGTCCCATGTGTCAGAAAAGTAAAGCACTTGCCTATCATGCAGAAGGTCCTGGGTTTCATTTGTGCCCCCCCCAAAAAACTACCAGTTAGACTCATTCTTGAAGGTTTTTGTGTATTAGCTTACCTTCAGTCTTGAGACAATAGAGGGGTGATGTAAGTGTTACACCCATTTTATGAATTAGGAAACATCAGGAAAGTTAGGTTGTTGGTACATTTATGAACAGTGAGTTTAAAAGGGTTACTCGGGATTCAAATTCCACTTAATTAAACATTGAAACTGTTTAATAGGGGCACTGTCAAACTGCCATTTCATTTGGGCTGCTTTTAGTTTGATTACTGCTCAAGTCCTAAGCTGTAGATGTTTCTTATCTGGAAGGTGTATAGGAATGACTGGGGCTAAGGCAGGTTAGTTTGAGCAAAAATTGTACTTGAGAAAGGTATAGTTGGGATTCTTCAAGATTTGTTCAGGTTGAGTAAAATCAGCCATGGGCTAGTTGTCAGGTTTTCTATTCCAATTTTGGGTCAGCATGTGAGAGTGTTACCCCTATTTTGTATCTCATGTGGAGTGTGAGTGGTTAAGGTTAAGTCTGCTATTAACCTGTTAATTGACGGTACAGGAAACCCAACCTTGCACATGCTAGGTAGGCAATCCTTCACTGAACTGTATCCCCAGCCCATACCGGGTACATAGAAGACAAGTGAACAGGACGAATATGGTGAACCTGAACTTTTCCTGGAACATATTTACTGATTTGACCAGCTTTGGACCAGTAAAAAAAAAAAACATTGCAAGGTCTTTCAATAGGTGACAGTAGATGCTCAGTGCCAGCCTTGTCCTGAACTATAAAATCTGTAGGTAGATAATACAAAGTGCAGGCCAGGTGTGGCACATGCCTGTAATCCCAGCACTTTAGGGACATGGCAAGTTCAGGACCAACCCGAATACATTGTGAGACCCCATCTCCAAAAAAATAGTGGAGACTTCTCATCCCTGTGAGCATGCCTGTTTTAATATCCTGGTCACCAATTGCTACATCTGGGTGTTTATAAGGACAAGAAGCTACTGTGGCTGTCCTCAAGATAGCATGCCCTGTATTTTACAGGGTGTACTTTTATCTTGCTTTTTTTGAATTTTACTTGGTCTAAGCTCGATCTGCAAAGCCAGTTTCTCTTAATCTTTCAGAAAAACTTTGTCACCATTTTTTGCTCATTTTGTTCAATTCTTAGTTCAAGATGAGAACAACGTGTAATCCAATTCCAGAAGAAGACATGATCACTACAAAACTCGATGTATATTTGGCAAGCTACTTTTAGGAGACTACCTGGTAACTACCATTTTAATGTCTTTGAGTATTACAGTAACATGGTGGCACTAAATGCATTCACTACATTGTGTAACCATAACTACCACCTTTTTCTAGGCATTCCTCATCATCCCAAATAGAAGTTCTATATCCATTAAAAAAAAAAAAAAAGAAGAAGCTGCCAAGGTAGGGTGGATGTACAGAGCCAGGTAGCTCTGGTCTGCCCCTGGCTGTTGTCCAGCCACCTGGCTTCCAGGTAGTTTACTCCAGGCATTGTAACTGCACACACCAGAGGCAGCCAGACTTAATTTTTTTCTCTCAAAATCTTGCAGAAAGCCCCTTACCAAAATGTGTTTTATTAGAATGCTGGCCTACCCACTCTTTTTTTTTTTTTTTTTTTTTTTTTTTAAATAGTTCAGGCTGACCTTGAATTCACTCCCGATGTCTCAAACTTGTAATCTTCTTGCCCCCATCTCCTGAATGCTGGGAGTACAGGTGTGTGCAAGCATTCCTGCTTGCCTTGTCCACTTACTTTTACTTTGATTTTTTGGAGACAGGGTCTCACTGTAGTTCAGTGTGGCTTCTTAACTCCTGTGAGCTTAGGCCGATCTCAAACACAGCAGTTCTGCCTCAGCTTTCCAAGTGCTGGGATTACAGGTATGTGCCACCACTCCCAGCCAAATTCACCATTAAAAAATATATAGTTCTATAAGTTATAATATGTTCACCATGTTGTACAATAGTCACTACTATTTACAGAACATTTTTGTCAGTCCCCCCAAAAAAACCTTATACTCATTAGCAGTTAATTCCCTGTTCCTCCTTTTTCCCAGCCGTAGGCCATCACTAATCTTTCTGTCACTATAGATTTGCTTATTCTGGACATTGCAATGGAATCAATCTATCTAACAAGGTTCTTGATGTAGCATAATACTTCTAAGGTCCATCTGCCTGTGGCATATTCTTCATTGCTGGGTCTTTTTTTTTTTCCCCAGTACTGGGGATTGAACTCAGGACCTTACACTTGCCAGGCAAGCGCAGCACCACTGAGCTAAATCCCCAGCCCTAGTTGTTCTTATTATTGACAAGTAATATTCTGTTGTATGCCTATCCACATATTAGGTGATAAGACATTTGGGTTTCACCTTTTGGTCTATTATAAATATTGTGTGCAAGTATACATAACCAGGAATAGGACTGCTAGGTTACAAAGTGACAAACCTGAGAAATTGCCAGTGTTAAATGGTCACGAAGTTTACATTTACACCAGCAATCTATGAGGGTTTCAGTTTCCGCACATACTCAACACACCCACCCACACACATACTTGGGATCAAACCCAGGGACTCATGTGTGCTAGGTAAGCACTCTAATGCTGAGTTACATCCCTAACACCTCTTCCCTTCTTTTTTGAGAGAGGGTCTCATTAACTTGCCCAAGCTGGCCTGCAATCCTCCTTCCTCAGCCTCCTGAATAACTAGGATTACAGGTGTACACGACTGTGTCTTGTCCGAGCCTTTTTTTTTTTTTTTTTTTTTTAATTTTGAGACAGTCTCACTAAATTGCCCAAGTTGGCTTTGAACTTGTGATCCTGCCTCAGCCTTCAAAGGACCTGGGATTACAGGTCTGTGCCACCATGGTCTATGCCTGGCCATTTTAATTTCCCTTTTTATTATATACTAGAAGGAGGAGATAGAATATTGCTTGTGGTTTTGATTTGCATTTCCCTAATGGCTTGAATATTCAGCATCTTTTTATATTTATTGGTCATTTGCATATTTTTACAATGTTCAGATCCCATCCATAAATCTTTAAATTGGTTTATGTTTTTGTTGTGGAGATACAGGAGCTCTTTATGTCTTCTACATATTTTTTTCCCTATTACAGAGGATTCAAACTCAGGACCTCCTGCTTGCCAGGCAGGTGCAGTGCCGCGGAGCTACATCCCTAGCCCTCATATTCTGGATATTTAAATCCTTACAGAGTCTATATTTCATTCTGTAGGTTGTCCTCACTTGCTTGATAGTGTCCTTTGATAAAAGTTTTTAATTTTGATGAAGTACAATTTATTTTTGGTTCTTGTTCCTCTAGTGTCTAAGAAATCATTGCCTAATTATGAAGTTTTATGCCTATGCATTCCAGGAGTGTTAAATGCTTTTAGCTCTTAAATTTACATTTTTGGTCTGGATGTGGTGAGATGTGCATGCAATCCCAGCACTTGGGAGGCCAAGGCAGAAGTTTCGCCTCAAGTTTGACACCAGTCTGGCAACATAGCATGATTCTGTCTCAAAAACAAAAAATAAATAATAAATAATTTGGGTTTTAAAAATCTATTCTGAGTTAATTTTGTAATTGTATGAGGTAGGAGTCCAAGCATTCCATCGTATGTAAAACTTCTAGACTTCTTTCTAGCATCCAGTTTCCAAGACCCTGTTCTCCAATTCCTGTGATTTGAGTTCTCCCTTTGACATCATGCAGTGACTCACCTTGTGATCTGCCCTCATCTCTCTCGAGGTCCTATTTTCACCAACTCTATGTAGTCTCATGTACATCACACACATATCCATATTTGGCATGAACAAATGGAGTCTTGCCTTGCTCTTCACAAACCACCTCCCTACTTTGCCTAGATTTTGTAAAAGCCACCATGCAGTATCCCTGGTAGAGCCCAATTTTTAAAATCTTTTTTCAACATTCTTTGAATCCCAGTTCTCAGTGACACCCTGGATTATAAAATTAGAATTTCACAGTTACTCAGTTGTTTTACCCTGTGTTACACAACAGGATCAAAAACAAAAACAAAGGTTTTGTTTGAGGTTCATTTAGCTCTTGGAGGTATTGCCTATTAGGCATGTACAGTTGACTGTATAAATCTGCTATTGAATGGATATACATTTTTGTTAACCTGTTTGTTTTTCCATTTTTAAGAAGTCCTTTGAATTTAAACTAATTATATGAAATATTTTATAAGTCTAGTCCACAAACATGATATATTCAGGCCAGTGTGACGGCTTAAGTGTTAGAGCAGTGTGCTTAGTTTGAGACTCAGCATCAAAGAAAAGTGATATTCAAATGTCCAGTTTCTGCTGGACACACTCCTGTAATCCCAGCACTCAGGAGGCTGAGGCAGCCAGGAGTTTGAGGCCAGCCTGAACTACATAGTGAGCTCAAGGCTAGCCTGCACTTTATAGATGCTGTCTCAAAACAAAACAAGGGGCTAGGGATTTAGCTCAGTGGTTCCACCACCTGCCTTGCAAGCACAAGGACCCAAGTTTGATCCCGGGTACCACACACACACACAGATATATGCATATGCAAATGTT